AATTTGCTTGTTAAAGTACAGTACATTTGAAAATATGGTTGTATAACAACCTCGACATATTTACCTATAAATTACAGCGGACTGTTCAAATATAAAAATATAAGCCTGGAGTAGGAAATTTGTTTTTAATCCTGTAAGACTGCACTCCTACGACTACTTCAGGATTTATCCTATGTATGCTTTATCATATTGCTTCACACGTCGACAACACATTTTAATCAACACAATCAATGTAAGGTACTCTTTATACGCGTGCACCTATTTAAAAGCTCTAAGCTTGCCATTACCTATTTTATTCATCATGTCCATGAGTTCTGCTTCAGTCATATTATAACCAAGGGAAGATAAAAAATGTCTCAGTTCAGAGGCGGTGATGTAACCATTTCCATCCTTGTCAAATACGTTGAACGCTTCACGGATTTCTGACAGATTTTTCTGAACAAATGAAAGTTGCACATATATTAATCGGAGCGAAATCAAGCGTAGCCGAAGGCAAGTGTTTTTCATGTACAGTACAACCTCCATTAAGCACCCGGGAACTTCTTTGTTTTGCTTAATAGAAGGGGGAGCTACGGTTTTAGCCGTTGTCTTATACGCTGGTGTTATGACATATACTATATATAAATATATTTCTGTAAAACGTCTGACCATACTCCGTATTTGCAGTAACGCTGGATTATTACGTCACGCTATCTAAATCCACAAGAAAATTACCTTTCTGAAAAACGATCACCATGTCTACCAAAGTAAACCTGTGAAATTTTAACGTCTAATTGACACCGTGTACCCAAAATGGTAGAAGTCAAAGAATTGGGTCCAATTATGTGTCGTGACGTCACTTTCAAGGGCTGAATAGGAACTCTGCACCGAAATCACGGGGATGCTGGTTTCAATCTTGTTTAATTCAATGAATCTGTCACATTTCTTATATACACTACATTACATTACTTGACATAAAAAGTATACAGAGAACAAAAGTAATGAGAGTTCGGATTTGTGACAGGGGTTTGAAACAGAATTCACGTACCATGAATCGATATCGAACCCCAAATATATAAGTTAGATACTAAAATATTCTCTACAAGCTATTCTGGTGGATAATAAGTTGTTAGCTTCGATTTATATAAAATAAGTAGTTCCGACTAAAAATAGATATCAAATTATTCACGCCTTAATACGTGAAGGAAGATCGTTCCACAATCTAGCCCATTTCCGCATGTTAGGTCGCTATAATTTTACGTCGCTGTAATAGCCCGATGCCCTTGGCTGCATTTTCAGATGTTTTCGTCTAAACTTCTCGAAATCTCCATCCATTTGAGTAGCTACCACCATTCTCTTACCTGCGAAGTAGTCTCGTGTAAATGTTTGTCTGGTTTATTCTTGCATTCCTCTCCTGATGTTTCTTCTAAATGACTTGTTGCATGATTTCTCGCGCCTGCACTCTTTGTATCGTCGCTATGTTGAAGTTCTTCCATGCCTCTAAAATGTTGAATGGAGTGCCACATAGCGCTACTATGTCTATATCCATGTCAAAATCCATATACATTATGTCAGTAATAACTGTAGTCGATAAACACAATATACAATAGTCAATAGTATAATTGTGAAACTGGTAAACATTTTGAATAGTGTTTATTCGACGTTTCGACTAGATTTTAATCATCATCAGGAATGGTGAAATTACTAAGTAAAGAAATGTGAGAAATAAGGTCATTAGTTAAATATTGTTAGTTCTTTAGATGCTTTTAATAGTTCCGTGATCAAGGTTAAGTTTCAGTCTGCGTATCGCAAGCGATTCTTTGAACAATAAAAAAGAGCATGCAGTGGTCGGCTCTATCGATTATTTTACGTAATTTACGGTTGTAACTGTTGGAAGAGTTGCCCGTGTGTAACAGATAAGTTAATGTTTAACTCCTCTATTTCACTGTCCGAATTTACTTGAGTTTACACGAAACAATAGCTTGAAATCGAGGCGAACAGTGAAATCTATTGTAAAATAAGTGACTGTCTATTGTGAAACAAGCCATACCATAATATTATGAACAAGAATTAATGCATGTGGACGTGCAAATCTTAGTAGCTCGAACCTGACATTAAAATTTGAATTTTAATTTGTAAGTGATTTCAGTAAGTAACTGATGCATAAGTTCTTCGTAGGATTGCATGGCGATAAAACATATATTTGTAAATTTACGTGGTGTTTCCACAAACAAAAGTATTATAACTGATACATCTCTAGAATTGAGATATTTAAGAACCATGTGGGTTGTCCCGAATTACCTAACTTTTTTCTACCTTTGAAATAATACATGCGTCTGCGTGCGTTTTGACAAGTAACATCATGAGGTAAAGCTCTTAATGCCATATAAGACATGAGGAGGTCTTGCAATGCAACATTAAAATAATTAAAATTACCTTTTTGTTAAGCGCTATTTAAACTGTCTACCAAGGTCTTAAGGAGTTAAGCTGATACTTTTTCCTGGTCGTATTTACAATATAAGTTTCCAGAAACATGACGATACAATATTTGTCCCACCATTGAAAAGGACTATATTTTTCACAGTAGTCCTCTAAACGCGTGCCTCACTCGACTAATCTTCAGTATTCTGTTGTCTCGACACTCTGTTTATCACTACTTATCATGGTAACGAGAGAATGCTGTCTTCTTATTTATTTTCCTGTACAATGGTTTTCTAATTCGCTGAGCAAACGTCGGCAAAAATAGGATTTTCTTGTTTACTGTAATGCGGATTAAGTGACAGTGCTGTTTGTTCAAGTTTTTAATCGTCTATGATATATTACATAAAGCAGCAGAGATAGTTCTTTATTCATTGGCTAAAATTTATGGACAGAATTTAGTTCGATATGTTCATGGGCAGCTGATCTGAAGCTATATAGGACTCGATAGTTCGAATTCAATTAGTCAGTTTCGAAGAAATTAATAATGAGAAATATTTTAAAATCTGTCAAAACGCGCTATAGGCGTTCAATTTGGTTTACTATTTTTCAATTTGGTTTTCAAAAGTATCAGGTTTTCATATCTGTCCCAATGAGTTTAAGATAACGAGACTTGAGGGCGCCATGTTGGTGCATGCGACCTCATTATTCACGGCCAAATTTAGGAAGAGAGCCATAACTGATGATACATTTCTATCCAGACAATGTATTTCCTCCAGGGGATTTGTGGTGGTCGTACCAATGTGGCCTCCTTTATAGAATTGAATTTAATAATTTACCATTATAACTTTCACAAACAAATACACACAAATAAATGAAAAATAGAATTACAAATGGCGAGGAAATCCAAAAGTGAGACCTAAAGGCTTATGAAATCATGGATTTCCTCCAAGAAATGAATTACAAAAGATTATATAAATAAGCAAAATGGCAACATTAAACATAATGCTGTGTAGTTCAGCGTATTCGATGCATGAATAATATTGATGATTATAATTACATAAATAAACTTTTAAGTCTATTTTTAGTGAGAATTAACAATTTCATCCCCAAGTGAGTTAAAAAACTTCGGACCATGATATCGTATTGGAAATTGACAAATACTTGTCCGATACAACGGAAGCTAGGTTGTACTGTGCAGGCATGCAGTGACGGGGAACCATGTGGAATGCACCACTTTCGAAAAATCAAGCTCTGCTGTGGTAAAATAGGACATAAAAAGGATGAACATAATCCAAGTTCTAACAGAGGATGGGCTGATTGAGTTAGCTGTGTAAGTGTGAGACGTAGTAAACTGCAGTGGATGAACATACTCCATACTCTCAATCGTGGACATAACTTGTTAATAAAATTTTAATTTGCCTCTGATTTAAGTTGTAGTTTGATTCCCGTATCTTGCTTATTAACCCCAACACAATGTTGTTGATTTTTAAAATTTCGATCTATTTTATTAACAGTTTTTTCCGCGATTTTAACTTTGAAGTAGGGTCGAAATATCACCTGGAATTTTGTGTCTTGTTTCAATAGCTCATATCTTTGGTTTTGGATTGTATTTTTCTTATAT